TGCAGTCTCATCAAAACATCTAATTTAAAAACTGCAATGGAGACAAAGGGGAACCCTCTTCAAATGCTTCCATCCATTCTCCTGCTGGAGGCTCCAGCAGCCCAAGGAAGCAAGAAGCAGGAGATGCACCGTGCCGTGCAGCTTCAGACTCTCCAATACTGTCTGGAGGGGTCCAAATAATACAGGAGTGTACTTCTGTCCCCCTGCAGGGGCTCAGGGCTGGCTCCAGAGCAATATTTTTCATCTGCATGCAAAAACCAGTACTCACTGAAGGTCAAGGTGAGTCCATGGCTCCTCATTCCAACAAATTTTCAAAGTACAACCTGGAAGGAGCTGGGGAGATGGCTCAGTGGAATAAGCGCTTCCCTGGCAAGCGCAAGGGCCTGAGTTCAATCCTCGATTCTGCCAAAAAAAAAAAAAAATTATGCTTGGTTTTGAGGCCGAGGAGATGGCTCAGTGGAATAAGTGCTTCCCTGGTAAGCTCAAGGGCCTGAGTACAATCCCCAGTTCCGCAAAAAAAAAAAAAAAAAAAAAAAAAAAAAAAAAAAAAGTACAACCTAGAAAAAACACTTCACAAATGTTTAAAGGAATGATGTAGCTGTTTGCTGTGGCTTTAAAAACTAACACATAGGTGCTAAAACATGTCCTTTTCTCATCTTACCATCTCTGAAATTTAGCATCTTATTATCACTGGCCACTGTCTGCTTAATTCATTGCATGACTTTTTTTTATTAATATAGAATGTAATATAAACCATCAGAAATAGCAAAGCTCTGTGTGTTTAGATGACATTTTTAGATGATTATTTTATTTATTTATTTATTTATTTATTTTTTAAAATTTATTTTATTTCTGTGTGTGTGGCCAGCTCAGCCCACCAGGGGGCGGGGCTGGCTGGCATGTGGTGCTGGGGGATTGAACCGCGGTCCCTGTGCTTTGCTAAGCTTGTTCTAAGTAGGTGCTTTAGACCACTGAGCCATCTCACCAGCCCTAGATGATTATTTTCAAAGTGAAAATGAAAGTACTGGAGCTTCAGGCCATCTAGATAGTGTTATTTATTATTGCACCAGGAGAGCAGTGCAGTCCATTTATTCAGAAAAGGTTCCTGAGGGCATGCACCGAACTGGGGACTGGGGAGGCACGGGCCCAAAGAAGAGTAGACAGGAACATTTCCCTTTCCCTGAAACCTGGCTAATGCTAGTCAAGTGAATTGCATTGAATTTCAGTAATGTAGAAAGGATATTCTTTTATCTTTACAGTTTATTGAAAGGAAATATGGCTAGAAGTGTTTCCTTGTACATAAAATCATGTCATGGCAGAGCTTAAGAGGCTGGTCACTTTTTCAGAAATCTCTTTGCCCTCTAGATCTTTAGGATGATACAAAAATCTGCTGGTGAGATTTTGTGAATCCCTTCCCCCAAAATACCATAAACAGGACTAACTGGGTCCCTACCCTCTGAATGGTCCACACCACTGTTCACACCATAGCTGGGGCCAAAAGCAGCTTCCAGCATACCCAGAAAGCATGAGGGCTATAACAGGCAGCTGGCAGGGGCTCTGTGACCTAGTGCCAAGATGGTGCTCAGATGAACTAGCCCCATTCACAAGGTATGTGAGCCCAGCCTTCCCCTCCCACCGTCCCTGGATGTGACCCTGATATCAGGAGCCGTGGGGCTATTTCCCAGGGCTCAGGTCATACCGTAATGAGATGTGAGGTGCCATTAGTAGTGGTGGGTTAATGGGTTTTTCACAGTCTGGTTCTCTATACGCTGGCCCTGCTGGAGGTCCCCACAGTCTGTCACCATTCCACCAGTTGCCCACTGCTCATCCTTGGACCACATATCCCTGCACCTACAAGAAACATGGTCTTCCCTAGCTGCTATCTGGCCACTTTATCATGTGGTCTCCCACCCAGACCACAAACTCCCACGGGCAGGGCAGTGATTCCAAGTTCGCCATCAGAGGCCCAGGATGGGTAGCTGAAAGGGCACAGACTGGAGACGAGGAAGCGGGGGCTCAGAGTGTCTAGCCGTAAGACGATGGGGACACAGGGGTCCTCAGCTCCCCTAACAGGTCATGATGGTGCATCCTTTCCTGGCTCTGGGCCACCTCTGGCTTCCATAAACCTCTGACTTGGCAACATATTGGCTAAATTCAGAAGGTGGCCAGCAGGGGCACACAACTGGAAGCTCAGCCACAGTTTATATAGAACCAAGTCCTATAAGAAAGCCAATGAAAGTGCTGTCTTTTAATTTTGTTTTGTTTTTTTGGTGGAACTGGGGATTGAACTCAGGCCCTTGCGCTTGCCAGGCAAGTGCTTATTCTACTGAGCTATCTCCTCAGCCCCTGAGCAGTCTCTTAAAAAGGCCTCTCTTGATAAAGTCACCACAGCTTTGTTCTGACAGCATGCACTACTTGGGCAGTGATAAGAGCTATTGGCATGATGTGCAGGGACCTGCACATCTAGTCCTCCAGATCCCCCAGAGCTGGGTTCCCCTGGGGAGTCAGGGCGCCAGGCTCAATGGGGCTATGTGGGGAGAGCCTCCATATGTATTTTGAGTCAGAGAAGGTTACAGAGAGACAAATTAGCAGGTTATTCACTCACTTAGTTCAGCAGATTCTGTGTCAGCCCTGAGGGATCTGCCACTCTTGACTCTAAGGCCCTGTAGGGTCATTTATATGTCAGCATTCACTCTATTGATAAAGATAAGCTACCAGCAGCAGGGCTGCATGGGCAGACCCCTACTCCATTGGAACAGAACTGAACACTCATTATCCTCCTGATTGGTTTCAGAATTATCTCAAAAATCACCACAACGGGCTGGGGAGATAGCGCCACAACTAGTCAGGTGCTTCTGGCAGGCAGGAAGATAACAAGTTTGAGGCTGGCCTGTGCAGGTTAGTGATTCTCAGAATTAAAAAAAAAAAAAATGGGCTAGCGTTATAGCTCAATTCATTTTATAACGTGCTTGTACACACACACACACACACACACACACACACCCCAAAAAACCCCAAACAAAACACCCAAAACAAACACCATGACTGAGCCATAACACTAAGTCCTGACTTACCCAGTGTCTCTTGGGAACCTCAGATTTGAGAACAGAATCCAAGTACGCACAGATCTTAAAAAGCAGTACGTGTGCCTGGCAAGTACGGGTCATGGGAGGTGTGGGTTGCTGCTGTGGCTCCTCCCAAGCTCCTTTTTATGGAGTATTTACAGACCACCTGAGAACTGTGCCTGAAACAGGGCTTAACAATTCGATTCCATCACTTTTTGGCCTTCTGGCTAAGATCAAGTATACTAACTCGGGCTGCAGCACACACTGCGAACATCTGGGAAGGATGGGTCCTTTGCCTTCAATCGATTCATTTTAGAAGCCCAAGAGTTTCTATTTTCTTAGTGATGCAGGGAGAATGTCTGATAGACATTAACGGGCAATTAGGTGTAGGCTTAGCTACAGCATCAGGTGTTTTTAACTAGAGCAGCAGAACGCAGTGAGGTTTTTGTGTCTCCTTGGTGTGTTCTTGGGACACAGTCACACAGCAGCCTGTTGAGTACTTACAGCAGGGTCCTTCCCTGGGTCCTGCTGGGAGACTGTGGAATTCCTCCTGGTCCTCTGGCCCACACAGCCAGCATGTTCCTGATGCAGTTTCTGCTCTCCAGCTGTAAGGCAGGAGCTGCGAGGGCAGGAAGGCCTCGCCCGTTGTACTCACTTTCACCCACAGGGGAGCTTGTGTAAACTCCCTGCATACTTTATTCTTAAGCTTCCGGATTCCAGCTGAAGATAACAGGGATGGCTTTTGTTTTTTCCTTTTGTATCTCAGTAATAGGCACCTCAAGGGTTCTCAATGCTGTGTGGAGGGTGAATGCCCCACAGGGGCAGCCCCTCGGCATAGGTGATATCATATACAGTACAGTATTTTCCTTCCTCAGGTAAAGCCAGAGGCATCCCAGTGAACAAACTCAATGCAGTGCAAAGCCGCAGCAGCGGGACTATCAGTGTGTCCCTGGCCTCTGGGGCAAATTAGAGGGAAGGCTTTGAATACATCCAAGACCCTGGCCTCTTCCTGGGCACTCCCTGTGGGGTACTCCTGGTGATTCCTCTTACTCTAGCCCAGACACCAGCTGGCAGAGGGTATGAGGTCCGGGTTGATGGCCCGCTGCCTCTGCCCCATGCCACGGCCCTAAGAATGTCTCACCTGGTATTCAGAGCCCTCGGCGTCTGTCCCTCGCTGCCCACCCCCACAACACATTCTTTTGCCTTGTACTCACAGAATAGTTTATATTTTTAAAAAATGAAAAATTCTAAGAGTGAAAGTTTCCATTTCACCTAGACATAATAAGTCTAGTCACAATAAAAATAAGTGTTTTTTTTCTAGCAGTCTTGCCATCAAATTATTTCAATTGCTTGTTCTGCAATCGGTTTCTCCCCCCACCCCCAACCGGGGATTGAACTCAGGCCCTCGCGCTTGCCAGGGAAGCGCTTATTCTACTGAGCCTCTCCCCGGGCCCAATACAATCTGTTTCTTGCCGCGGCTCAAAACGATATGGTAGATTCTTCTGCATGCACATGGTCATCAGGAGGGGTGTGTCAGACCTGTGGCAGGTACCCCATGCACACCTCAAAGTGCTTTGTTGGTTGCTTTGTAGAAAGTAGGAGGAACTGTTCTGCTTCATTTCGAAGTCGCTGTTTGAAGTTCTTTCCATTGCCTTTCAGAAAAATTTGGTAAGAACATGATTTTAAGAAAAATTTAAGATCTAAGGTCACCACAAATAGGCTTCAAGAGTCAAATATAGCATCACATTTGCAAATTTAGAAACTAAAGAAAGATAAAACTTAAAAAGAAAAGAAAAAAGAAAAAGAAAAAGAAAAACCAAACACAGAAAGTAATATCGAAACGCTGGCAGTTACCGGAGCAGCACGGCTGGGATTGTGCAGGACTGCTCTGCGGACGGCCCGCACAGCAGGCCTGTGCGGGCGCTGGCCGCCCTCGCCCCCGCACCGCCGCCGGACCGACCCCAGCCTCGCAGCCTAAGACAGGTAGTACAAGCCACAGGCGGCGGCCGGTCCCGCGAGGAGCCCGGGCACAGGCGGCAGAGCGCTAGGCGCACCTCCGTGCAGCGGGGCGCCGAGAGGGAAGGGCAGGGAGAAAGAGGGCAGCAGCGGCTTGGCTGCCAGCTTCAACTTTTCCAGCTCGGCCTCCTGCAGCCGCTTGGCCTTGGCTCGGCGGTTCTGAAACCAGATCTTGACCTGCGTCTCGGTGAGGCTCAGGCTGCGAGAGAACTCGGCTCGCTCGGCCACCGACAAATACTGCTTCTGATGAAACTTGCGCTCCAGCGCCAACAGTTGCGCGGTGGTGAAGGGCGTCCGCGGCTTGCGCGTGTTCTTGTGTTTTCGGAGGGTGCAGGGTGAAGGGCTGAGGGCACCTGGGAGAAAAGAGAAGCACAAAGCGGGCGCTAAGAACCCTGCAACACGCCTGGCTCCGACACTGCTGCGCCCCTTCAACGGCCGGTCGCGGACGCCAGTTTTCACTCCGCGACTTCGGCCTCTGGAGCAAGGACAACCCAAACGCCACTAGCGTAAGCAGAGCAAGGGCCACAGTGGCGATGGGGAACCGGCTCCCGAAATCCTTTGCTCCGCACCCCAGGGTGCTCAAGGGCTCTACCCTTCGGAAAAAGCGAGAAACAGTTGCCAGCCGTAGTGGGAGCGCCGGGGTGGGCAGGAGCGCCTCGGCAGGAGAGGGCAGGGCTTGGCTGGCGCGGCCTCCACGAGCCTTCGCTGTTGGAAGCGCTGTGCGGGCTGGAGGAGGGTGTGTTTTGCCCTTGCCCTCAGGCTGGCAGCGGTACTGGCCAGTAACGTCCTAAGTTACCGTCTTCCGATCCGGGCAGGGCGGCCCGGGCCCTTTCGGGGACTAGGACCGCGAGGTTCGGCACTTACGTGGGGGGCACGCACTGGCAGCGGGCGGGAACCAGGGTCCGGGCTCTGGGTCACCTCGCCGCCTTTCCTGTCCGGGCTCTGCGGGCTCCGAGCCCGGCCCGCGCTCTGCCTCCAGCAGGGACTCGACGCTGAAGGACAGGGGCGCGGACCCGGTGCCGTCCCCGCCGCGCGGCCTGAGCCCAGCGGGGTTCATTGCCACTGAGGCTGGTGCCATGCGTGAGGTGGCGGGCGCAGCTGGCCCGGCGGGACGCGCTGGACATAGGCGCCGAGCGCCGCACTTCTACCCTGGGTCGGCTGCACCCTTGCCCACTGCATCCTATAAAAAGGTGGCTCGGCTTTCATGCGCCGCTCTCCAATCGCGGCGGCGGGTGCTGTGCGGGTCTTAAGTTGGTTGGCTTCGCCGCCCTTGAAGGCGGGACAGACAGGGAAGGGCGTGGCCAGGGACCCCAGCACCGGGGCCCGGGCTGGCCTGGCATCCTGTACCGCTGTGCCCTGCCGGAGGGTGGCTCGCGCTCCTACTGTAGGGAAGGTGGAGCGGTGTCCGATCGTGTGTCAACCTGTCCGGGCCTTCCCACACAAGGGGCATCTGTTCTGGTCCTTGAGCAGACGCTGTGCCTTGTCATCTCTAAGCTGTCTGGGCTAGGCCCCGACATCTCCTGGAGAGGCGTCCTGGGTGGCTCTCGCGCATGTTTTTCTGATGCAGCCAGGTCGTGGGCACAGAATCCCGTCGAGTGCTTGCTTCGGCCCTCGCACTCTCCCTGCACACTGACGGCCGCAGGCGGCAGACCCTGAGCCTGAACTGGCAACTCTGCTACTGTCCTCTTGAAGCCGCATCTGTGGCCGTGGATGGGCTCTTGGGTTTCTGGAGCGCCCGAGCTGTTCTCCCGAGCAGGGCTGAGTCGTGGGAGCGCCCGCAGCATGTGTCGCAGGTCTATGGGCAGAATCCACAAGTCAGTTATAGAGGTGGAACTCTCAAAGGTCCCGCACGACAGTCTGGAGTGGAGCTGGGCCCTCGGGTTGCTCCGGAGCACGCACTGGGTTCATCGTCAGACTCTGCCGGCCGCTCCGCTTCGCACGTGCCCAGCCCAATCCTCTGGGCTCACCCTCCGGAGGTAAACCAGACCGACTGACCCAGCTACTGCAAAGCCGGGTGTCTGGGCAGATTCTCGGCAGGAACTCGTTGCAGGGTTTGGGAATGTATAGTGGATTAGTTTGGGGTAATGACTGAGTCTGATCAATACTCTAGAAACGCCCTTGCACTTGCCAAGGAAGAGCTTATTCTACTGAGCTATCTCCCTGGCCCCCTCAACCCTTATTTTAAGACAGTCTCACTAACTGATTAAATTGCTCTGTCTGGGGGCGGGGGAGATGGCTCAGCGAAATAAGCGCGCAAGGGCCTGAGTTCAATCCCTGGTTCCGCAAATAAATAAATAAATAAATAAAATAAAAAAAAAAATAAATTGCTCTGTCTGGGCTTGAAATTTCCACCCTTCTGCCCCGGCCTCTCAGTATGGAGATTACAGGCATGTACTACAAAGCCCAGTTGGTATATGTTTATGTTTTAAAAACCAAAGTTGCCTTAATGAAGTCCAACTTTTGAGGATAGCTTAACTGTCCAGCCCAGCAGGTAGAACCATTAAATTATAAGGTTTCCTTCATATATATATATATGGATTATAGGCATGTGCCAGCAACTCAGCCTCCTTCATACAAATTTAGAAGCTGCTGGAAGGGGCCCTCAGAGGGCTCCAAGCTGGCCAGGCCTAGTGTCTGGTGGAGACCGGCTCTCTCTCTATTCATAGACTGATGACTCCTTTCTAATTCAGTAAAAATGCTCTAAGTTGATTGAAGATAACTGCGTCATGAAAGCATTCTCTTTGAAGGCCCCTCTTTGATACTTTATGTTTACCAGGCCTTTTACAGGAGTGTTTAAAGAATTTTGATAAGGATGACAACAGACTGGCTTGGGCCTGCTCTGTGTCCATCTGGGATGCCACAAAGGTGGCCTCTGAGTGGAGGAAGCACAATCCTATGCTGCGAAGGACAAGGTCAGGAGCAAGGACAAGGAGCAGCTCAGCTGGGCAGGGTTCTTTCCTGACAACCAGTGGGATAGTTCTTCCTCAGGTGTCCCACCTCCCAATGTGTCCACATTGATACTGTTACTGTTCTTGGCAGCCAGGCCACTGCAGCATGGCTCTACTTCACCCAGAAGCGAGGGAAGGGGCAGCCCATCAGGGTAGATGTGAAAACCTAGGCCACAACACAACAGACAGGTCTCCTCAACTGGGTGTCTCAAACCCTCTGTCCCCACTGTGGTCTGGCTGGCAGAGGGCAAGGACAGTGCAAGTGATGAGGGACCCTCTTTGTCAATATGGTGGCTTTAGGCACAGAAACCTGAATTTACAAGTGTAGAGAGCCTAGACACTGTCAGGCAACAGAAAGAACGGGATCCTGAGGGTACTGGGATTTCCAGCAAGGATAGAAGGCTGAGCAAAGAGGTGGCAAAGAGGTCCCTCATTGTAGCTGTCCAGCTGTGCCCTGGGAATTATATGGTAAACCCTGAAGGGGCCCATTGAGCTTTCTTTGGCAGACACCTTTTGCAGTTTGAGGGATGTTGTTTTCTTCTTGTGTCTGGGGCTCCCCTCAGGCTGACTACATATAGCACAAGTGCATGCAGACTGTAGGGCTCAAAAGGGCTTTCAAGTGGGATGAGAATATTTCTGAGAATGAATTTCATTGCAGGGTTTATACACCACATTTGCAGGGTGGCAGGGCTAGAGAAGCAGCCTGCCCTCTTCTGGGCTTGGACAGGAGGATGGCTTGGTGTTGCATAGCCCGTCCCTGCTAAAACCACTTCAGACTGCCATGCGATGAAGATGACAGCGTCTCCTATGTCACCAAGTGTCTCAGGCTGGGCTTGAGTTTACGATTCTGCCTCAGCCTTCCAGAGTGCTGGTATTACAGGCTTGTGCAACCACTAAGCCTAGTTTGTATCTAGTCCTATCCTTTCTTCTCTTCTTTAAAAGTCATGTATGCTTGGAATATACAATAAAAACATTCATCATGAGGACCTGGTACCTGCACACATTGCATCTCCATCCTTTTTATTTCCTTTTCCCCCCTCTCTTGCCTCCCCCACCTTCTCTCCACTGCTTGTCTCTACAAAGTCTGTCTCCCTGTTTTCTACAATTGATCATTTGTTTTTTTTCCTATTTATTATTTATACTTTGGATTTCTCATATAAGAAAAACTGTGATATTTAATCTTTTGTGTCTGATTCATTTCACTTAGCATTATACCTCAAGGTCCATCCATTTCTCTTTGAATGCCTCAGATTTATCCTTCTCTATGGCTGAGTAGCACTTCGTTGTGTATGTAACTGTATTTTCCTTATTCACCCTTCTGTCGATGGGCCCATAGGTTGCTGCTGAGATTTAACATGGGTGCGCATGTGTCACTACGATATGACACCTTTAACTCTTTCAGCAAGTTACCCAGAACAGGCATAGCTGAGTCAGTTGCCACACTGATATCTATGGTGGTCATACCAGGAATGTAGAAGGGTTCTTTGCTCCCCTACAACTTGCCATCATTTCCCCCCTCAGTGATAGCCGTTCTTTTTGAAGTAAGATGAAATTTAGGGGTTGCCTTTCTTTTTAGTCCTATA